TATATATATATATCTTAAGGAATGAGTTGGGGCGTGAGGTCCCCAACCCACACTATGGGCTTGACCCCTTTTATGTCTGGGTACCACCCAGTGTACAAATAATTCGAGTGTCATCTGTCATCTGGCTATAGCATTTGCCTTGCTTTAGAGAGAGAGAGAGAGAGAGAGAGAGAGAGAGAGAGAGAGAGAAGGGTATTCAAGTTCCTTTAACTTGGACTGTCAAATTGCTTCAAGATCCGTGCATCCCATTTTTTAGTACACATAATAAGTTCCTTAATTTTCTTGCACCTTGATAGTGACAACTGCAATAAATAAAAGGTAATTTATGAATCAAATAAATCTTGAACACACAATTTACTTATGATATCCCTTGCTATACGGTTTTCACACTTAGTTCTGGTATTTTTATCGTCATATGATATGTTTCTCATTCTAAAGTTTTTTCTGTTGGGGATAAATTGTCGGGTTCCGGTGGTCGGAGAAAAAGTCGGCTGTTGAAGGAAATGTCATCCGTCAAATGAAAAGCCGATCGTCAAAGGAAAGTTCAGCCCTCGGAGGAAAAATCTTAGAGTTACTCACCTCCGGAGGGGGGTCATAGAGTTGCTCACCCGGAAAGGAAGTTTTAGAATTTGCTCGCCTCGAAGGGGAGTCTTAAAGTTGATCGAAGGAAAAGTCGATCAAAATGCTGATGACTTTCCATTATCTCGGGAGCATTAGAATCCTTAGACTAATAACCAAATGGATAGTAGGAGGTATCCTTCATTACCATAGGAATGACTAATTTAGACCTTACTGCTATTATGTGATTTAGGGTGCCTTACCAGTAATCATAGGTTACCTCAACCCAGGGCACCAACCTAACCCAAAGAGGAGAGACTATTTGTTTTATATGTTCTAGTTTTAGTACTAATTATTGGGTACCTAGTATACTATCTTATACTTCTAGACTGAACTATCCTAGAGTGTGTGTGATCCTCAGTTTTATTTCTTTGATCTACCTGAGTTTGGTTTAATGATTTAGAGTTGATGAATTTTAAATTATTTAGAGTGTTTGTTATTCAGTCACTGATTTGTTTTGATTCATCGTTTTTTGGTCATGGTAAAAATTAAAGATTATCTAAGTTCAAGGTTTGTGTTCTATTAGTTTGTCAGTCATTTATGAAAATTATGGTTCTTCTAAGTTCAAGTTTTCATTTGGGTTTTTGTCCTAAGTATTTTTCATTTGATTTTTTTCTTCTATGGTTGACTTCTAGTGTTCATGTTTATTGTTCTTTGTAAATTTTTACATGAAAAGAATAAGCTTTATTTAAGCCCTTCATGCTTGAAATTTTCATATTTAAGTTTTATTCACATGCTAGCTTTTCAAAGATTTTTGTACATGAAAAAAAAAAGTTTTTTTAAATAATTTTATCAATCCAAAAAGTATTAGTAATGTGAATTTACTTATCTAGAAAAGGTGTATGCATGAAATGGCCCAAGGCTAATATGTTTAAGGGCTAAACTTCCAAATTACATGTTTCTAGAAAGGAACATGTTCATTCAAAAAATTATACAAAGGAACATATATAAGCCTTGCTTGGACTAAATTATTCGAGAGGACTTGTAAAGCTTATATAAATTCTAATATTGATTTGAAAATTGAGAAGAAGTGTTGTTGCTTTTTTATATTTGAAAAAAAAATATTATGAAAGAGTCACTTGAGGTTATATTTGTTTTTTTTTTAATTAAGGAATTTTGAAATTTTATTAGTTTATTTCATAAAAGTTAAATTTGTGGAAAAGTTTAAGTTTGTCATAGATTTTAGGTTGTTGGGAAGTTTAAGTTTGAATTATTTAAAGTTTGTTAAAAGAGTTTTTAGTTTTTAGGTTTTGGAAAAAATTCTTGATTTGCTTAAGTTTTGTTAAAAGTTTAATTTTAAATTCATGGATAAATTTTAAATTTGTTAAGAGTTTAGTTTTAATGAAAAGTTTGGGTTAAAATTGTTTGAGTTCGTTTTTTAAAATTTATATTTTGAAAAGTTTTACTAAGTTATTTTTATGAAAAAGATTTATTTTTATTTAGTATTAATTGTTAGGATTTTTAATTTTTGAAAGAGTTTTAGTTAACTTGTTTATTTTAACTTTTTGTTTTAAAGAGTCTTATATTTATTAGGTTTATTTTAAAAAGTCTTTTGATTAATTAATTTGTTTTGAAAGCCACTAAAAAAAAAAAAAATCTTATATATATATATATATATATATATATATGAAAATGAAAATTTCTAAATTTAGCATTTTTAGCACATTTAATTTATATATCTTTATAAAAATATTATACTTTTAGAAATCATTATCTATAGATGCTTTCCTAACCTCTCTCCCTTACTTGGCCTAAGGAATTAAAAACTCTCTGAATATTTAAATACCATCCACATTCTTTTGGGTTACCCTATGATCATAACTTTTATGGGCATGAAATCATAACTTACATGTGGCTATAAACATAAAACATCCAACCTGCATAACCCATAAAACATGTAAACAAGCATGCAAAACTTTTACCTAAGATGTGAATTTCAGTTTGTGATAGTTTGTATGTGATAAGGTACTAGACATGTGACACATAAATTATTGAATGGTAAATACCTAACAAATGAATTTTACAAGGAACTAAAATGACACAGGTTTAACTTGACATAAATAACCTAACACATGAATTTTTGCATGGAACTAACATTGCACATTGGTTTAATAGCTATTAATAACCTAGAACATAATTTTTTTTACATGGAAAGAACATGGCACATAGGTTTAACATGGAATTAGAATATAACACATGAGTTTTCATGGAATTGCATAGAATTAAGTTTAACATGATATGAGCACATGGCACATGTAATTTACATGAAAAACACAAAATTTGCATTATAAACCATCACATAAACATATAGGTGCATGATGATCTTCCTCTCCTCCTTTCTTTTTTATTTATATTTTGTACTTAAAAGCTTTTGGGTAAGGGGTTAGGTTAGTCAGACTAAGTTAGGGTTCGAGTAGGCTAGGTTAGGCTTGATTAGGGCTTAGGTAGGTGTGTTTAGGCTAGTAAGGGCTCGTGTATGGTGTGTTTAGGCTAGTGAGAGTATAGGTAGGGTGTTTTTAGGCTAGTGAGTGCTTGAGTTGAGAGTGTTTTGTCTAGCGAGGTTTCTGGTAGGGTGTGTTTAAACAAGTGAGTGCTTGGTTAGGAATTAGTGTTTCAGTTAGAGTAAACAAAGGCTGTAATGGGTATGGTTGGGCATATAATTGGCTAGGTTAGGATTGATTAGAGTAAATGGGGCTAAGGTTAGTTGCGGAATGATGTGGAGAGTTGGTTTTAGGTTTTGAGAAATATGCTAAGGTTAAGTTAGGTTGTGTTTAGAGTGTATGATGAGGGAATGTGTAATATCATTTCAGGTTTGGATAAGAACTAAATGGATGAAGTGATAAAGATTTTGAGTGGGGGAGAGGAAGAATGCAGTGAGATAATGATGAAGAATTAGCATGGGAATGTAGGATGGTGACTCGGTTAGTTTGTGACTGGTTTCAGTTTGGATGAAAAATAAAGGGAAAAAAACTAACTAGGCTTGGTTTGGGTGAGAGAAAGGGGAAAAGAAAAAGGCACAATATAATTAAATTATTCAATAATATAACCAATTAATTAATTACTCATAATATTTTTATATGATTTTTTTTTGAATGTCTAATATTTATTTTTTTTGTATAACATTATAATTATCTTATTATAAAATAGCTCTAGCTTTTATTAAATATTGAAAGGTATTTCGATGTAATCTTTTTTTTTATTTACATTAAAATTCTGTTAAATATTTTAAAATTAATTGTAATTACAAATTAATGTAAATATTATATTTTATAAATACTTCAAAAATTCTTCAGTCATATTTCTATTATTTTTAGAGTAATGCTAATTTAAACTACTTCATAAATTTTTTAACATTTGAGTAATTTATCATAAATAAGCACATACATTTGATATATATATATATATATATATGTGTGTGTGTGTGTGTGTGTGTGTGTGTGTCCTAAGCTCTCAAATATAAGTAGAATTAACTAGTTCATAATTTATAGAATAATAAAATATTTTTCTAAAAGTATTAAGCAAAGGGACAAAATTATTAAATTATTTAAACTGTACATGGAAAATAATATATTAAATATTATTATTTATATAAATAAATTATAAAATTTAAGAGAAACAATTACACACTAGAAGACACAGGTTTATTCCGCTCTAGTTCTCAGTAATAAATAACAAATCAGGCGGCACCACGAGGGGCATTTAAATCCAGGTGTCCCCTGCCACAACCGCACCTCTCCCTCGACCCTCTTTGCCCGTCACCCCGCGGCGACCTCAGCCGCCATTCTCTTCCGGCGATGCCCTTCAACTGGCTAAAATTCCTCCACTGTAAGTGCGATACTTTAGGCGACGTAGTCCACCTCCCAAACAACCGACCCCCATCTTCCTCAAGCAATCGATCCCTTTCCAGCCGCAGCTCCTCCCACGCCCTTTTCGACGTCATCTTCCTTCGCCACAAAATCCCTCATTTCTGTACCAAACAGCTCCGTCAACTTCGCTCTCAAACCATCCCCTTGATACCGAATTCCAATCTCTCACCGAAACAGAAACCCACATTATACTACAAAACCCCTGCTATTCTTCGTCCGCCGCCGCCTTCAGCATCATGGCCTCCTCAAACACTCTCCTTACTCCCAGCAGCGCATTCCTCCCGCCGCATAATCGAACTAATCTTCCGTTCAGGCTGGTTTCCCTCCAACGCACCCTTCTCCGGCCAAATCGAGATGCTTTTCCGTATTCGCCACTCCCCGACGGCCATCGCAGCCTTTGAGGCCCTCCGCTCCGCCATCATCCGAGTAGATTCCGGCGATCCTCGCTGCGCCGCTGATGGGAATGAGATGATGCGATTCCACGCCCCGGGGTCGGATAGTGGGTTGTATAATGGCGGATTGAAGCGATCCAGAGTGGGGAAGATGGAGGGGGTGCGGACTTTCGAAGGAAGCCGTGGGGCGCACGAGAGCTGCAGCTGCGGGGATGGTAGGAAACGTATGCTAGTTTGTCGCGTTATCGTGGGCCGGGTCGGGGAACCGGAGGAGATGGGATCGGGAGTTGACTCGGTGAGGTACGGGGAGGAGGAAATATTGGTGCTTGATGACAGGGCGGTCCATCCCTGTTTTCTAATTATCTATAGGGTTTAGATATGCACCTGTGTTGGGAGGGTTTGTATATTTGGCAATGGTTTTTCTTTTTGTCAAACAAATGTTACATCAATTTCGATTTAATATTGTTTCTTTTTCTCAATGTCGATTGGAAGACAAAAAGGATTACTTTAATGATTATTTGGTGCTATTTTTATTTTTATTATTTTTTTTTCATGTTGAAAATTTTTTTATTGTAGTGATAACTTAATGTTGCGGTGGATTATGTTTCAAAATGGATAGAAGCAATCACTTTACTTAGATGGTATGCTCGGAGTGTTTTAAAATTTTTAATCAAAAATATTTTTACAAGATATAGAATGTCGAGAGTAATCATTACTGATGAATGATCTCATTTTAGAAATACAATAGTTGCAAGATTGGTGGAAAAATATAATATAATACATAAAATTGTAATTGCTTATCATCCCCAGACTAATGGTTTAGCGGAAGTATCAAGTATCTAATCATAAAATTAAGAGAATTTTGGAGAAGAGTATTAATTCTAACAAAATGGATTGGTCTATAAGATTAGATATTGCATAGACATACATAACAGCTCATAAGATACATATAGGAATGTCCCCATATAGATTAATTTTTGGGAAAACATATCACTTGCCAGTTGAATTGGAACATAAAGCTTATTGGGCGATAAAAGAATTTAATTTCAATTTGAAAGAAGTTGGTGAGAAAAATTATTGCAATTGAATGAGCTTGAGGAAATTAAGAATGAATCTTACAATAATGCGATGATTCATAAGGGAAAAATGAAAGAATGACATGATCGGAAAATAGTAATAAGAGAATTTGAACCTGAAGTTTTATTATATAATACAAGATTAAAATTATTTTTTAGATTATTTTCTAGAAAATTGAAGTCTAGATGGAAAGGGTCATTCAGAGTTATAAAAGTCTATCCCTATGGAGCAGTCAATATTAAAGAACTCAAAACTAGAAGAATATTTAAAGTGAATCGGTGCATATTGAAACCTTAGTTTGATGATCAAAGACCAAATGTTAAAGAGACTATCATGTTGGATCACCCAGAATGAGACTAGGAATGTCAGACTAACGACATTAAACCAAGCGCTTCGTGAAAGACAACCCATATGTATCGCTGTTTTCATTGATTTTTATTGATTTTTGAGTTTTTGTTTAAATTCTTATATGTATGTTTATGTTTATGTCTTTATGTAATTAGTGTATTTGAGAATAATGTTTAGAAACATCTTTGTTTGCCTAATGTTATTAAAAGATTGAGAAAAAGATTTGCCTAATGTTATTAAAAGATTGAGAATTTATTTGATCAAAATCGAAACGGCCAAAATTTTGGAATTGGCGCATGATGCGCCAAATTCCAGAGAGCTGGTGCATGATGCACTAGATCGGCACATGATGCGCCACGGAGATGAAAGTGACTTAAACGTTTCAAATGACAGTTTTTGGCGGCTTTTGGAGGGTACTCCTTCAAATAACTCCTAAAAATCAACCCCAAGACATTTTAGGGAGGGAAATAAGGGAAGAGTCACCAGTTTTCAATTCCTATGGTTTTCCACTCTAGAAACTCTGCTAAATTTGAAATTTTCAACCAACGAAAGTTCATCAGTTTTGACGCACAGAAGTTGCATGATCGAGAGAAGTTGCATGATCGAGTA